TGGAAACATCTGGCTGAGTCCTTGGTGCTCTTGCCGGAGGGGCCTCAGTGGAGATGTGGATGACGTCATTCTTTCAGATGGGTCCTCGGTGAATGCTGGTTCCCTCAGGCAGGCTTGCTCCGACAAGAGAGAAATGGCTGTCCTCTCGCTATAGGGTTGAATTAGTCAGGCTGGAGTCCATTTTGGAGAGCTTATGACCTGTAACACAGACTAAAACTCTCGCCTCTTGGTTAGTCACATAGTAAAAGAAAACATTCCAGCGTCTTAACAGGATTCTCCCCCATTCCAAACATGACTCAATCCTTGTATCTCAGAGTCCTGCCATTCCAAGGTTGTGTATATATCTTGCTTTGTCTCTGTCCCCTTTGTAAATTCAGTGGTTTTTAAAAGCATTTTTGCATTGCTATAAATACTAAGTCAAAGACTTAGACTTTTTTGAAAAGTTAAATTTGTTTTTGTCATTGAGTCATAAAAAATCATATAACATAAAACTAACATCAAACAACTTACATAGATAAATTGACACTGCACTAAGCTTTTTATTATATTACTATCAAATCTGAGGAGTAACTATGGTGGTACAGTAGTTAAGCACTCATCTGCCAACTAAAATCATCAGTAGTTTGAATTCACCAGCCACTCTGTGGGGAGACTATGTGACAGCTGCTTCCCTAGAGATAACAGCTTTGGAAACTCTTGGGGGCAGTTCTTTGTGCTATAGGATCGATGTAAGTTAGAATCAACTTGACAGCAATGGGATTTTTTCTTTTTTAATAAAATCTGAATTAAATGCTGTCTGTCATAAATGTTTTGGTTTTCCAAAGCTATTATTAAAGAAAATTTAAAGGTACAGAGTTCAAATAGTGTTTAATGGAATCCCAACAGCTGCCTTAAAACTTTAGTGATCTGTATATGGTTACATTATCCATAAGTGACAATACTTTATCCAAAGATGAAGAGTATCCTTATTTTTAATGGGTTGAATGTACCTTTGTCAATCTTCTAGAAGCTTTAATTGAGAAGAAATAAACTTTAT